AGGGCCAGCGTCGGCGTCAGGGTTGCAGTCATTGTGGCCTTCACCTGGCCGCCAAAGCCCTGCAGGAGGAACAACATGGGACTTGAGAAGTGAGATAATGACAGACTCGACTAATGAAAAACAGGGAGCCAGGAAACAGCCCAGCAACAGCCGGCAATGAAAAGAAGGATGGGGCTGTCCTGCGCCCAACTTGTGTGCTGTGCAACAATAGAGGGCTACCGAAGTAAGGGCCTGCAACGCGGCAGCAAATGGTAACAACCCGGCATGGTTGTGGTTATAAGCGGGAAACGTACCAAGAGGTCATTACAAAAAAGAATTTTGTCACGACTAACGCCCTTGCAGCAGAGGAGCGAGCCCAGTGGCGCTATTGGAGATCATTCCACGTTTGTCTGACACCAATGGCGTCGAGGACGTGGCCGTTGAATGCATGGGCTGCGCTCCAAGAAACGCAGCAAGAACAATCCACCACTACACAAGCACATATCGCGAGAGCGGCAGCGTCGCTTGCTACATCCGAGAGCTCTACAGATAGCTCTTAATGTGGCGTGTGGAGGTTGTTTCGGTCAAGTTTTCTCACTCGCACGTTTTGGCTTCTGTATTCACAAGCTGGAAAGCGACAATGCTTTTGTCACGGTGGTAGTAGAAACAAAAACAAAACACAGCAAAGACAAGAAAGCAAGGGAAATTCACAACGCAACATTCGCTGCTCCTGTCTGGTTTCTTTTCTATTTTAATGCATGTGTGTTTTTGTTCTCTCATTTTAAAACTCAAAATAGTTCCATGAGAAGAAATTGGTGGTCCCCCTGCCTATTCTGCCGCCGGCGCCCTCTGGTTGATCGTACCCCGCACTGCCGGGGCTCCCCTGCGACTGCGAGCCCCAGCCGAACGAGAACAGGCTCCCGGACCTGAGGGTGTGGGCTGACGATGCTGTAGTCCATGAACTTGCACTCCGCCAGACTTGTCTCGAACACGGGCTGGTCGTAGGCCACGGTGGTCGAGGGCAGGCGCAGCAGGAGGGCAGCGGCGCTCTGCGGCCAGTTGCGCTGCACCGGATTGGACCACTGGACGCCGACGTTGCGGGCGAGGCGAAGACACGCCTGCGCCGAGCGCAAGGAGCGACACAAGTAAAATACCGGCCAGCATACAAGGTTTCAAACCGTTCACGAATTGTGTAAAACCGTGTCCGGACGTGCGCACTCACTCGATCGTTACTACACGGTTTGGTGCCGTTTTGATACGCCAAATACATGAAAAATACACGGCTTAACACAATTTTTACACGAGTTTCAATATTCTTACACCGTACACGAATTTCAAAACCATGTTTTGGCTCTTTTTGTACTGGTGCAACAGACATCCGGGATACATGAAGGATGGGTGCTAATCGTAGCAAGTTTGCATGACAAATGAACTTATCCTACCATTTACACCATATGACATATATGCCGTTCTGTAATATCAAATGAGCTTGTACTGCCGATTATGCTACAATTCGATACTGTAGTGTCAACTGCTGATAGTGGTTTGATATGCGGGAAAGGTCATGTGCGCCTAGGAATGCGGTGTCCGAACAGTTGCTCATCCCTTGCTATGGCAAATGTACATGGCTGAGGATGTGCGTATCCATGATCTGGAAATTCCTTGTACTGGGCATATGCATGCAGTGCTAGGGGTACGGTGCCCAATATTCTGGATGCACGCAAGCAAAGCCATATCCTTCTCTGCATCCAGGATATAGAGTATTTTACAAAGGAGTGCAGCACATGTATAAAAGCACGCTGCAAATGGAAAGCGAAACTCTAAAACAATCAGAAAAGGAAATCAAAGGTGGTGAATGCCATGTGAAACAACGCACTCGTCATGGGGCGTATCTGTACGGAGTTCAGACCACTGGATGCCCTATCGAGTCTCGATGGACGGGTGTACCACCGATGTACATTGTGTGCGTGGCAAAGAACGCCATCAAGGCGAGGTTCTGGTCATCTTTTTGGAACAAACTTCTTTGAATCAATCGCATATGCATGATGAATACATCGTGTCAAACGCACGCTACAAGACAAATTTGTGACGTGCTATTCAATACAACACATTCAATATACAATGCTATTGCAGGTGACGAATTTTGCGCCAAAATACAACTATTACGTGTTATATCTTCGGCCATATAATATCGTTCTTCATGGGATTCGCAAACAGTTCTGCTGAGCATTGCAACTCCACAATAGACACTTTGTTCGGCGGACTATTTGCATATTTCGCATATCTTCCACAGCAGTCATTCAATAGCCATGGGTGGCGTTGCCTCTGCCAACAAGCAATGTAGTTGCGATTAAGATGTCGTCTCCATCGTTCAGGATATATACGATGGAGGCAGTTCTGTCAAAACTTCGTTCTAAGAGAGTACTATCCAGAGATTGTGATTTTCCATTCATGTCGGCAACAAATTGGTACTTTTATTTGTCTAGTTGCTTTTAAACAGAGAAAGTGCATGAACTTAATATCGCTGCCATGGGTCGCATTCATTAGCATGTGCCATTGTTGTCTTTTGTAAGCGGTTCCGCGATTCCTACCAACAGGCGGTCAGGGAGGGATTGGGGCAGTTCCGAGTGCCAGAAATCCACGACGTCTTTTCTGATGTCTTTGTCCGTGTCTCCGAGCAGCGCCGCCAGCGGTCCCATCAGCGGCCCTTGCGTCTCTGGCTTCCACAGTCGCCACGCGTCTCTCAGGAGCTCGAACAGCGCCCTTCGACAGCCAGAGTCGGAGTGCCGCACGAACACTTCTGCGAGCTTCCCTGTGACCTGTGCACCCACAACACTAACACCCTTTCAGGAAACTTGGCATAGGTAAGTGCTGTGCAGTACTCTGGGGCCTGTACCATTTCCCAAACGAAGGTTCCTCATCTTCGGTACGCACGAGGCGGGGCCTTTACTGGAGATAGCGCTGCGTTCGAAAGAGCAAACACCCTGTCGGAAAGCTCTTTGGGAAGGCCAAGCTACCTAGTTCAGAGCCTTTCGCCACTTTATCACGAGATGGTGGGGTACCTGTAATACATGTTATTGGGATTCCTTTGGAGCTTGACTGCTGTAAATTCAATACATCTGAAGGGCTCTTTAGGGCGTTATAGTCAGAGCATTTCAAGATGCGTGCAATGATAACGACTTCCAGTCATTTCGCTCGCCCAGCTGACTGCTCTACAACAGCCTTGTAACATGTATAAATGATCCAAAAATCCAATATGCGTGCGTCCTTATTCGACAGAACAAGTGGAACGGAAAGTTTCCATGTTTTAACATGGAAAAGCACATCAGGAGCGCATGTTGGTCGCCAGCAGTAAGAATTGTCCACACATCCCATCAAGCGCACATGCTGCTAGCGCTTGCTGCCAGGCACAGCATACACTAAGTGTATTACGCTTGCCTGAATTGGGCCCCGGATGCTTCAAAACTGCAACCTTTCTTGATGCTAATGCACATAACTTGGCGTTGCCAGCAAAATTCACTTCAGCTCAATTCCAAAGGGACGAGTGCACATGCGGCAATCATGGATGGTTGCGCATCTATCAGCAAACATGGACATGCCTCTTCCGCTGCATTCAGCCCAAGCAGCAGTCTGAGCATGGAACGCAATTGCGAAAATCCACGGATGTGCCCAGCGTTTTGTGCAATCGTTCGTATAGTTGTTCCTTTCTTCTCATGTGTGCGTGACGCAATGAGGTGCTCCTACCGTTCCAGCAAATTCAGGAGTCGCTGATGGCAACAGATCGCGAAGCAACTGCAGGTATTCTTGCTGCACCGTCGAAAATTTGCTGTGCATCAACGGGTCGAAAAGGCTGTCACTGGCAAGGTCCCGGAAAAGGTCTGGAAGGTCCTGTGAGCGTGACCTGCAATGGCGTCGACACATGCATTCAATAATGGAAGTGCCACGAGAAAAAGGCATATAATGCAGCACCAAGCACCAGTTCTCAGAATCTTGTGAGAGCCACATGCATATGCCGTGTTCGTATATCGTCGAATTGTGCGGATATGAGGATATGAGACCCAAGATTCACTCCATACACTTCTCTTGCCATTATAAAGGATGCAGTTGCGACAATTCACCAGAACAGCTCAGTGACTTTGCACATTTTGCCTGCAAGCAGCCGCTTTTGCTCTCACTGTTTTCATGGGTGCCCCTCACCTCAGAATTTGCAGCGCCACCTGCTTCAGCTGCCCGTCGACTTTCATTATCGTGTCCATGATCCACGTCTTCGTGGCGTTCACAATCATGGGATAGAGAGGCGCCACGCGCTCCAAGCAAAACATCAAATGGGCGTACTGGCCCCTGCCGTACATGGGCCTCAACGCCTCTTTCACTTCCGACTCCACCTGCGCATGTACACTGGTAAAAAAACAGGCCAAAATACACGGTATTGAAAACCGTGTGCCGTGTAACAACAGCACAAAAATGAGATCAAACCGTGTAGTAACGATTGAGCGTGCATGATATTTATGCATTTTGACATGGCTTTACACGATTTTACACGGTTCGAACCCATGTTTTTGCCTATTTTTAACTTGCGGTACACAGCATTCTGCTCATCACAAAGGGGAGGGGGGAAGATCTGCGGCTGCCTTTGGGCCAGGTCATGGACACGTGGTGCTCGATTCGGACAAATTACAACGCGTATCTCCAAAGCGACTGAATGAATGGACCCACTGGCAAGTCCAGACCGGACTTGTCTGGTGCGTGCAGGACAAGTCCGCACCAGCTTACAAGTTGCTGTGGACATAAATACGTCCACACGCAAGTGCAGTGCGCCTGGCGTCTTCCACTATAGGCTGCTCAGCGTGCGCGTGCTGAAAAAAACGCATCAAGAGACGTTTGCCTTGTCACCAAGGCAGCAGCAGCTGCACCTTTGAGATGGCCGGCAAACGTGCCTCAGGGCGAAACAACTCTGTTGGCATCCTGGCCACGAAGCATCGCATTGCTGCCAATGGGTGCGCTGAATGCACGTCCAAATCTCACCGACTCCAGTAGGTCTGGAGGACAGAGCAGACTTGCAAACTTTTGCACTACTGCCCGCCCACTTGAGCGAATAATTCATGCGCGTTTCATACGCGTGCGAGGGCTTGCATGCTCTGTAGCACGCGATGTAAATCCAAACTAATTAGAATTACGCAATTGTGCTATGACTGTGTCAATATTCTGGACGTCAACGACGTTTCGAACAACCGCCCATTCAGCAAGTTGTGCCGCTGATTATTGCTTTATTTGGTGGCGCTTGTGGTTGCATGGCCACGGCACAACGAGCAGCACTGCTTCCCCATATTCTTGCAGTACCCCACGAAGTGTTGCACATACACTGAAGTACAGGGCCCCATGACCTGCACCCACTTCGATCGAAACGGGGATCCTAGAGCCTACCTGAGTCAGAGCAAGACGCGTTTGCGCCAGCGGTTGGCCGTTCTTGGACAGGTGGTGCAGTATTTGGCCAGCAGCTTCCCCAGCATGGCGCGCCATCCTTGATCCAATCTTCGGAGAGGAGAGAATTCGCAGCACCGCCTTCCACAGGTCCTCTGTGCAGCGAACAAGGGGAAGCGTCACGCTCGTATTGGAAGCATCCAACACGTGAGACACGCCACGCACATCGCACATACTTACATTCAGTATGTACATCACGCTTATCCGCATATTGTGCACAGCACACGAAAGACGCACCGCCGCTTTGGGTGTTCGAGTGCAGGCACAGTTTGGAGAGCAAGGCCACGTGGTCGTTCGTCGAATGTGGGCTGCAGCCAATGCAGAATCGATCGATTCTGCATTGGCTGCAGTCGCAGGAAAGCACACACTTCAACAACGCTGAAGCATTTTTCACGAAGAAAAGCACACGTTTTAACAAACCGACGGTGCGCGTTCTTACAAAATAGCTTGTTGACATCGTCTTGAGTTTTCACGAAACTCGGAAAGTGCCTCGACAGTTGACATCCCCCTAGGAAAGCGTGCTGTTTGTCCAATGCATTAACATCACCAGCACGTTTGCCCTGTACTTTGCCCACTCACCAGCTTGAGGACTTGAGAGCATCTGTTCTGCATGGCCATACTTGAGAGCGTAGCACAGAAGGCTCAGGCCATACACGTGCCGCCTGTCATTTACATTGGAGCCGTGCAGCGGTGTTTGGGTGAGTTGAGTGAGAATCGGTTCCACTGCATGCAAAGAGAAGGGTCTCAGAAAGATGGCAACACTTGCGACCAACAGGACATGGTGCTGTTCAAGAAACAAAGTTCAGAAATGTAGCGAGTCGACAGGATAGCAACGAACAAACACCGCCTTTAGCAGGCAATGCCGCTGACGGCAGCAGACTGCAGGCAGCAAGGATAGTCCCAGACGACATTCAGCGCCGGAGCACAGAACGCAAGCAAAATGAGCCGGCAGAGCTATTTGAAACATGGCGGCAAACAAGATTCTTTCTGCTGTACGTGGCAGGAAGTCAATTGGCAAAACAAGTTGCACGAACTTCCCAGACATCAGCTTGCTATCCAGGCAACACTGACACATGACAAGAACGCAACACCAAAGAGAGAGACAAACATAGTGCAGAGCAACATTTCGGCCTCCTCCTACCTGGGAAGGGGATGGCCGCACCCCACTGCCCAACGAACATCTGGATGTACCCAGAGTTGATGCGCAGCACATCCGCCCTGTTGCTGAAACCCACCCTCCCCAGCTGCCCCAGCAGCTTCACGCTGGCCTCCTCAATTTCGTCCCCGAACCGAAGCCGCCCGGCCGCCGTCTTCTCAAACAGCAGCGCCCAGCGAAGAAACACGAAGCAAACGGACCGAACAAAGGAATTGAACTCGCCCGGGTTGCTGCCATCTCCCGCCGAAGCATCCACGATGATGTCCACCATTGGCGGAAAGAACTCATGCGCATGTTTGCTGAAGGCCGAGCTGGATCTTTCTGGGGCATCGGCTGAATCCCCATCCTCGCCGTCGACTTCCATTGGGTCGCCCCCTGAGTTTGGGTCCCCGGAGGTGGGCAGGGAGTCCAAGGACGCCATCTGGGCCAGTCGTTGGGATCGCTCCCTGTCGCGCAGCTCAACGTGCACGATGGCCTTGCAGAGGAACAATTTGGCGTACCTGCACCAACACCATCTGCATTATGCGCTGCCATGACTGGGTGAGAAAAGTTTTTTGGTGTTCGCATGCGAGAGCGAATTGATTCGCAATTGATGCGCTCGGTTGGAGAAGATCAACGTGGCATCACAAGTTAGCTTGCTGGACTATGAACCACAATGATGTGTTGCAAGGGTGTCTCCAGAACTTTCATTTGCATCATCCCAGCGCACCTACATCATCCTGGGGAAGCGAGTTCGGCACGACAAGAATGCCATCTTAATCTCCTAGGTGCAGCACCAGGAAGGCAATGTCGTTGCCTTTCATTACAGCTGTAGGCTTTAGAATGACTGCCAATAATTCAATGACTGGGACAGCAACCTGCCCACTCGACACAGCTTTCGGCATACCTTCCAGAAACAATTCAATGTCAGAAAGTAATGACAAGAGCGACAACTGCGTACAGCAGTATGGCAAGGATATTCTGTTGCTTTGCTCAATGCATATCGCTTGCAAATGAAGGTGCTCCTGCAGCAGTGTCCTATCAGCATGTAACAAAAACTGGCTCCCCAGCAAAGCACCGTGCTTACTGCCATGGCCAAACCTGCCCGACCAACAAATGACACCTGACCTTGAGACCACGGGACTCTTGAGGCTTGCAAGGACCTGCCAGATTGGCAGATCTTGTGGATCCGCACAGGACAATGAGCTCCCGCGCTCGAGCAGAAGCACCAAAGCCAACATGGCATTGTTTGCATCCAGCTGGTCTTCGACATGCATCAGTTTGCGGCCCAGCACTTCGAATTCCGATTGGCTGCCGCTCATGTTCAGGCTACCGCTTCCCCAGATCTCCATGCTGGTGTCGACTGGTCCTTCTGCTTTTGGAGGCGGATTTTCGGCCACGCTGTCGGTAACTGTGTGTACATGCCCACACATGTGGACACGCCATGTCAATGCATCCATTGCGCATAGAAACAGAATTACAAATAAGCTATTCGTAGACTGCAATGTTCACTACAAATCCCATTCGGTGTTCTCCTAATGAGCGATGACATCAAATAGACATTGCCATGACACAATGTTGCATAGGTAAGCAGGGTCGATACGCAAGTAATGCATTTAGAATTGCTCCAACAGAAAATAGTGCATGCACAGATGTGGCAGCCTTCGGCATGAGCGACTGGAGCAATTGCTTGCCCTGAAGTTCTGCAAAAGTGCATGACATTTGCGCTCATGCACTGCAGGCCGTGAGCTATACATATGTGGCTGCGTAATTATACATTATCTGCTTAGCTTGCAAAGCAACAAATTCGACTACTAATGATGCATTCCCAACACAGCACGCAGTTCTCTTCGTGACAGAACCCTCGTGTGTTTTGAAATCTATGTTTGAGCTAGCCCCGCTTCTGCATTCCGGTGTCCAGTGCATCAAACGGCTACACTCAGATGCATCAGGCATTTGACACACACAAGCAATACAAAATGGTTGAGAATGACCAACACAATGAGTGCAAACAGCTGCCGTTTCAAAACATTTTCGTCCGAATTCAACAACATCAAATGCTGGAACTCATACATGAGTACTGCACAACGATGTCAATGCAGCCATAACATGCAATGAGAACATATTACTCCCCCAGTCCTTTCATTGACTTCCCCAGTTTTTATTCCAGTACTGCTTTTAGGGTTTAGGATGCATCGACTACTGCAAGAACAGCGATCATTCCCTGAAAGGCGAGTGGGTTAAATGGCGGCCACACGCAACCCTCACGCTACGAATAGACCATTTTCGGCCAGAAACACCCCCTCACCATCTTGTTTGTCCTTCGGGCCATCTTCGCCGTCCTCAACCAGCGAATATTGAGATGGCGCTATCTTGGCACTCAGCGTGCTCTGTGCCACGTCCAGCGTGCGCAGCCCGCTCCCCTCGCCCACCGACTTCTTTCCCGCCAACAGCTGGTCCTTCAGGGCGGTGACGATGCTGGCCGTTCGCGACAAATGCTCGCCAGGGCCCTCCATCGAGTCGACGGAAAAGGAGATGGTGGCGTAGGGATCCAGGAGGGCCGTCCAGAGCTGCACGGGCGCGGCGCCCTTGGTAGCCCCCTGGAGGGCCAGGGTGAAGAACTTTGGGTTCCGCTGAGTGCTGATTAGGAGCGCTGAGACTGTTGCGAAAGCTGCAGCACACACCTGTGCCCCGCAACAGGCAAGCGAGCAAGTCTGTTAGGAAGCGAGCAACTCTATATATTAAGCGATTGGAATGCCATTCACAACAGATATATTTACACTATTTTTTGGATAACAGGCCAACGTTCAGTACTTTATAATACTTGGCAATGCCACATTTCTTGATGATGTGTTTATCATGCATTGCTCTGCGTGGCACTATCCGTCAATGCTCCATTGAAAGCCAGACGAAAGTTGAAAGCTAAATGATATAATTGGATGCTTCATAGTCGGGCATTGCACAAGATGGATGCTTCAATTGCCTGTGTTATTTAATGGATGGCTAGAGCGCGATTCACCTTGCTTT